ATGGTCGACAAAAGAAGGAAAGGCTTTCAGTGAGATGGATTGACACAGTGGCTGCAATGATGAGGTGAAGTATAGCAAGAATCATGGAGCTGTCACGGGATCAGGCTGTGTTTCATTCTGCTGTGCATAGGGTCTCTATGAGTTGGAAATGATTCGACAGCACCTTACAACAACAACAACAATGGAATTTTAGATGAGCAAGGTACCTTATGGATACACTAGTCTGACTCCATCATTTTCAGATAAGGGAGATGAGGCATTGAGATACATTTCCAATAACATGTAACTGAAACACATTTCCAATAACATGTAACTGTTGTTCGGTGTTATTGAGTTGGTTCTGACTCATAGTGAAGCTACATAAAACAGAAGGAAATACTGTCAGGCCCTGTACCATTCTCACAATCATTGCCACTCTTGAGCCCATTTGTGCAGTCACTGTGACAATCCATCTCATTGAGTCTTCCTCTTTTTTGCTTACCCTTTACTTTACCAAACATAACATTCTTCTCCAGGAATTGATTCCTTCCTCCAGATAATATGTTCAAAGTAAGTGAGACAAAGTCTTGCCATCCTGGCTTCTAAAGAGCATACTGCCTGTACTTCTTCCTAGACAGATTTGTTCTTTGTTCTTTCAGTCCATGGTACAATATCCTTTGCCATCACCATAATTCAAACACATTAATTCTTCTTCAGTCTTCCTTACTATTTATCTAGTTTTGCATGGATATGAGGCATTCTAAATACCATAGCTTAGGTTAGGTGCACCTCAGTCTTCAAAGTGACATCTTTTTTCCTTAATATTTTCAAGAGATTTAAAGTTATTTAGCTGATTTGCCTAGCATAATATATCTTTTGATTTCTTGACTGCTGCTTCCATCAGTGTTGATTGTGGATCCAAGTAAAATGAAACCGTGACAGCGTCAATGTTTTTTTTTCATTCATCATGACACATCATTGTTTGGGGGGGGGGCAAACATAACTAGTTAATGGCCAATCTAAGGCTATAATTCCAGTCAGTGCTCTTTGGGAAAGATTTGGAATATGATCAAGTAAATAGATTTTAAGGATGATAACACAGGAAGGACATAGTGTGACACAGTTGGAAGAATTAGAGATGGTTAACCATGAAAAGGGGAGCATCAGAGACAGCATAACTGTAATTAAATACTCAAAGACAGGTAGAAAAGGACTTGAACTTGCTCCCTTTCCCGAGGAAACAAAGATGATTGCAAGAAAACTGAAGGAAAGACTTTAACATTTCAATGCAATAAAAAATTTCAACAATTCAAATTGGTCAAAACAATGGGGGGGGGTAGTAAATTTTCTGTCACCTGAGGAATTTCAAAATAGACTGAAAGATAATTTAGTGGGTATGTGTTTGCCTATGAAGAGGGATAGGGTAAGGGGTATGGTAGAGAGAATTCAGGCATGATAATCATTTGGATGGTGTGACCTTTAAGAGTATGTGATTCTTTGCAACCTAAGACCAAATAAGGTTTTACTCTTGCCACTAAACTCTGAAACCTATCTTCCCATCTGTTTGCAATAGTTTAAATTTTAATCTATTTCATATTTCAGGGTATTATGCCCTGAATATTTGATTTGAATGCTGTGGCAGAAGGTCACTCATATTCATTTATTTTCTTTTACTCTTATATACTTGCAGTGAGTCTTTTGAATTCATTATGCAAACACATGCAAATGACATGCAAATTGTGTGGCCTCAGAAAATGGCAAAATCTTATGGCCTTAACTGAGCCATCAAACCTTTCTTTATGAAGGAAAATAATATGCCTTTTCATAGTCTCTGGGGCACGAGACAATTTCCTGAGTGTGATATTTACATGACATTGGAATTGGTTGCTCAGTGGAATCTTTGCCTCACATTCTTCATATTTATGTAGGACTTAAGGTTAAGAAAGCTTTTTCACATATGTGATCCCATTTGATCTTCGTAATTACCCTGTGATGTAGGCAGCTAGAAATTATAGTTCCTGTTTTTCAGATGAGGAGATAGACTCGGAGAAGTTCAATGACTTTCTCGAGGTAGCTCATTTGTCCAGCAATGGAACTGAAACTGGAACCAGATCTTCTTCTGGTCCAGAACTCTTTCCATTATGCAATGAGGGGTGCCTTATTTAAAGCAAGATGGTCTGGCATCAGTCTGAGTTTGCTTGGAGTTGTATTTTACCAAGAACATCTTCAGCAGTGCTTTTGTTAATGAAGATGGCATTTTAACAGTGACCAGAAAAGCTAAATACTTGTTCTAGCCCTAACACAATGCCAAGTATATAGTTTCTTTAACTCCCTCTGGGTTTTTTTAGCATCACTTCTGAAATCTCCACATGAAGAACATTCTTCCCCCCATTCACCCTTCAGCTTCTTCAGGGGGCATTGTTCTTTTTTAAACCACAGAGATTAATAGCACGGGGTCAGCAATGAGATTGTCTGGGTCTGAAGCCCTAATCTACTACTGTCTAAGTGTGTGGCCTTAGAGAGTTTATTTAATTTCTTTAAATCAGTTTCCACATCTGTAGAATGGGGAAAACAAAAGCACTAAACAGTAGATATTCTAATTATTATTGATAGTAAAATAGTGGTGGTGGTAGTAGTAGTAGTGGTAGTAGTAGTAATAGTAGTAGTATCTCAAGTAATTGTGAATGCTGATAATAAGAAGTGGGCTCTTGGAAATGAAATGGAATAATAGTAACATCAAGGATCTTCTATATGTCTGAGGTCTGAGATCAGATCATGTCTGTGCTAGCTAAATTCAACCCACTGAGGAATGGTGCACCTTTGACATTGACTTTCATTAATCAAAGCCACATATTAATGAGAATAACTGCAATCCTGCTTCAAAACCATGTCTAAGAAGAACTAGAGCTAGTCTACCATCCTTAACTCTGCTCCCTCCTGGCCAGGCTACTGTTTTTCTAGCAATGACTCCCACTTCCCTAGACCAGGTTAGGGGGGAACAGGCTTTAGTAGGCAAAGATGGATTTACTCTTTTCCTGTACTAGTGCCCTGGTGGCACAGTGATTAAGCACCCAGCATTACCAGAAAAATCAGAGCTTCTAAAACATCAGTCACTCCACAGGAAAAGGATGTAGTAGTCTGCTTCCGTAAAGATTACAACCTTAGAAACCCTATGTGGCAGTTCTCCTCTGTCCTATAGGGTCGCTGTGAGTTGGAACTGACTCAATGGCTACAGATTATACTAAGGCCAGAAATAGGGGTTAGGCGAGGTGGCAGAGGAGCAAGGCGCAGATACGCACACTCCCTTTCTAGGGAATGGATGACTCTTTTTCCTCTTGCTCCAGCTCCCAACTCCAGTAGTTGCTACTGCTGGGCTCCATTATTCTGTCTGTCCCCACAGAGTGCTCTGCCCTTCCTACATGCATTTGTCCTAGACACACACGTGGGACAACTACCAAAGTTGGTAAAGCTTTATGCTTCCACAGTCTCTCCCTTAGAAAGGGACTGGAAGCTGCTGGAGTTGCCAGACCCTGGAAACTGGCCTGAAGTCAACAGGAACCATCACACTGAGAGTCTGTGTGACCAGCTCAAGAGGGCTGTGTGATGGATTGCTGTTTACCAGGAAATGCACTGGGTCATTCTGAGATGGCCTGGGTCCTCAGTTATTTTTGGCAAGGATGGGTAGTATGCAAAAGGGACTTCCCCTTTTTTGTAGCATGGTGCCACTGACTACTTAATAGTCAGCAGCATTTCTTGCTCTGAGAAAACTTTTCTGAACCCTCGCTGGCTGCTGGACTTTTGGGACCATAGCTTGATTTGATTTCTCAGCTCAAGTCATTAGAAAGCCCACTAAGCTAGGGTTGTATTGGACCCATAATGGCTCCCAACATCAGCTTTTTGCTTTTGGTGGTACTGCTTTCTGTTGGTTGTACAGTCATCACTTCTTTGGATCAGATGTGCACTGAGGTGAGTCCAAACTCTTTGTCTTTATTCAGGTTTAAACAGCCTGCCGATTTTGAGATTCAGCACTCTTATCTGAGCTTTGGCATCCTAAGGGCCGGAGTCTTTAAAAGGGGAAATAGGATGTGTAGAGAGTTTTATTTACTGTGGGAAATGAGCCCAAGAGCTCAGCCAGGGGATGGTTGGGTGGACTTTTGGTAGGAAGAAATGAGTCTTCCCTCTTCCTTAGTAATTCCTCCAAAATAATCTCATTTAAGACAATGGGATGAACAGAGTCTCAATGCAAAAGGCTGAGCTTCAAACCTGTCCCACTCTGGAGGGGGGCTGCTTTTCCAGCACATGGCCCCTACCTCATGGAGTCCTCTGGTTTCCTGGCTCTCACGGAGGGGGTTAGTACAAAGACATGTGCCAGGATTTAGAGCATTTAAAAGATCACTCTCAATGAGTCTGGCCTTCTTCTTAAGTTGGACAACCCTCCATCTGTTTTACAAACCCACAGGAGTAAAATCAGAGAAAAGAGCCAAATTGCACCTTCTGTTTTGGACTATTACAATATTTATCAACCTGTGGGAAGTTCCTGGCAAAGGGCATGAGAGAGAGAATGGAGAAGGGCCTCTATCTCTTGCCATCTTCTAAAATACTTCAACCTTCCTCCCACCACATCTGACCCAGGCAAGTGTCCAACTCCACGTGGCCTGTCTCTGACAAGGACTGTGGACAAGAAAGTCCATCAGTCTTGGTGGCTTGGCAGGCTGTTATACTGGCTTGGGCTGAAAGAAGGTTAAGAGTCAGGGATAGCCCCCTTATGAGGAGGCAATAAGATGCAGAATGACACTAAGGCAGCTCATGGGTGTCTCATTCAGGAGGGAAAAGTAAGGTAAAGCAAGATGAAAACCTGCCAAAGAAGAGCAAGAATCAAAGCCAGGACTGGAATAATCAAAGCCTAGAAGCAAAAATGAACCTTGTTACTCTTGTAGTAAGATGATTTGGAATGCACTCAGGCTAAGACAAGGTATAACACCCAGAGAAAATGAGGCTTGAAAGAGAATAGTAAGGCTGTCTCATCATTCAAGTTGGTATGGCTATTTTACACAGACAAGTAGGCAGATTAATAAGGGTCTAGGCTAGGGAGACCATGCCTTCAATGATCAGGGCAATTTACACTCAATGTATCTCATGGCAATATCCTCAGATATGACAGTGTTACCATCAAATTCCATCTTAGGTTCCTGCAGGCTATTTTAAATATCCTCCTCTAAGCCTACCAGTTCAACTCTCAAATCTCAAATTACAGTGTAAAACCTGTGCAGCCCTCATGAAGCCCAGAAGAGAGATCCCAGGAACAGCCAATATTGCTAGGATATTTGGAAAGTCTAATGGAGAGCTCTGGTGGCGTAGTGCCTAAGGCATTTGACTGCTAACCAAAAGGCTGGCACTTCAAATCCACCAGCCACTCCTCAGAAGGAAGATTGGGTGATCTACTTCCGTTGTGATACTGCTTTGGAAACCCAAGGAGGGTCACTCAAGGAGGGGTCACTATGAGTCGGATCTGACTCGATGGCAGTGAGGGTTTTTTTTTTTTTTTTTTTTTTTTTGTGGCAATACTGGACTGATCCAGTTTCCCATTGAGGCTATCAGGCCCAGAGTTGCCAGTTCATTTTTCCAAATTGTGTCTGCTTAGGCAGAGGAGAGGGAAAAAGGTCAGGGAGAGGATTCCAGTCCTTTTGCTGCCTCTTCTGGGACCTTCAGTGCTATCCAAGTCACAGAAGTGGTGCAGAGGGTCACCATCCCTAGGACAGAATTTCTGCTGCTTCATGAAATTTCCTTTTTGTATAAATCAGGTGAGACTGAAACTTTCCAATGCAACTCCCTGCCTGCATCAAGGGCTCCAATTTTAAAAGACCTTGTGCCCTATACAATTAACACTGGATCTATAATTTCTTTTGCTTCTACTGTCATGTAAGAATTCTTGGCAGGAATTATTGGAGGAATTAAGGAGTTATTTAGCCCTTACTATGTGAATTTTGGAGAGGGAGTGTAGAAAGACAAAAGTTGAATGAGACCTTGCCCCTGAATCTAAAGAACGTCTAGGCTCCATGAATGTGAGATGAAAATTATCAAATTGCAAATATTTTCTCTTGTCCTATGGCTTGCCTTTTCACTTTCATTTCCTCTTTTGTTCTTCCCCTCCAGTTTATGCATAATTAATCATATGCTGAATATATGTTCATATGATCAACATTAGGTAACTAGGCAGGACCCTGAAAACAACATTATATATTGGTTTTGTGGTGTTTTGAATTTTTTTTTTCTTGAAGTAAAACATAGACACAGAAACATTCACATATCCTAAGTATGTATTTCAGTGCATTCTCAGCAAATGAACACATCTGTCTAACCAGAACACTGATGGAACATAATCAGCACCTCAGAAGCCCCTTCCCAATAACTACCCCTGCCCAAAGGTTGTACTTCCCTAACTTCTATCACCATAGACTAACTTTACCTGTTGTTGAACTTTATATACAAGTAAACATGAAATTTGTGAGATTTCTCTATGAAATTTTATGGAATTATTTTTTTTCATTTTTAGTGCTGAATGGTAGTCTCCTATATTTATTTATCCATTCTATCATGAATAGACATTTACATCATTTCCAATTTTGGGGCTATTATGAATAATACTATTTGGATATTCTTATCTAGGTCTTTAGTGAACACATGTATAAATTTCTATTAAGTGTATACATCCAGAGGTGCAAGCTGGATTCAGAAGAGGACATGGAACAAAGGATATCATAACTGTTGTCAGATGGATCTTGGCTCAAGACAAAGAATACCAGAAAGATGTTAACTTGTGTTTTATTGACTATGCAAAAGCATTTGATTGTGTGGATCATGACAAATTATGGATAACATTGAGAA